TTAGGGCGGGGCTACACAGTGATTGACAGGTCTCTACATCACTCCTCAGTCCAGATATGGTCATGGAAAATAACCAACATGTCGTTCCTACCACATCTACGGCATCAAAACAGGAAGTTAGTGGTAAAGAAGTAAAGCCCGCCTCTTGCTTAATGTTATTGGCTCGGTCAAGTGTGACATTGATGGTTTTGCAGGCAACTCGTTTCTAGCGAGGCGTCTGTGTGATCCGCCTCATACTGTGTAAGAACAGCAAGAAAAATGTTCAATAAAAGAATTTATTTCAATAAAAAGCTATCACACCTTATTGTAAAAAGTACATGGCATTAAGTGTCTGTTCTACCATCCATAAAGAAACACACATGCTAAAAACATTAAAATGTTTCCCACATATTTACAAGTTTATAATCGCTGAGAAAGGATTAAAAAATGAGCATCTCATGCTGAGTCATCGTAACAAGAGCTGTTAAAAACAAACGGGGATTATGTCTTGATTTGTGTTCACTCCACTAAGAGACCATTTCAGAAAACATGAGGCAGAAATAAATACATATTACAGCGTCTATGGCAGGCGACACTCATAATACAAACATCACACGGGAGAGAAAACAGGAAACAACCGCGTCAGTGGTTCACCAGCTCTGACAGACGGGTTGGTGTTTGATCACGGAAGCTCCGTCCTGCTGTTGTCTGTAAAGGCTCATTTAGTCCGTTGTGTCCCGAGTCCTTCAAGCATTGCGGTCGTAATCGCTGACCCTCTTCTTGATGTGGTTCAGTTTGGACTTCAGATATTTACACCTGCGCTTCTTCACCCGATAGTCTGGAGACTGAAGTTATGATGGGAGCCAAAGAAAAAGAAAAGAGGCGTGAGGATGAGTTATACGAGTTGTAAAAAATAACCAGAAGCTGTTACGAGTGCTGAATCTGGACTCAACAAAGATCAAACGTACCTTCTTAATGTTCTTAATCCTGTTGTACTCGTCCAAAGCATCCTGTTAAAGAGTGCATCAACAACTTATGAAATTATGTCGCCAAAATCTCACATTTAACAATATTTTCATTGAAACGCATGCTTTATTTTGTCTCCGTCACTATATCTACCTTTACACAGACGTGACGAATAAACAAGAAAATGTTATGAAAGTATTCATGCAAAATAATTGTACAAAAAGAAACCTCCCCCAGTGTGTAAAGCGCTTGAAAACACTTTTGGGGCAAAAGAACAAGCTCATAAGTCCAATAGTCTCTCTCTTTTAGCTCTGTTTTTGGTCTCCACCACCAATATCTGTCTCTTTGGCTGCTAAATGCTCCACTTTGTTCACCAGCTCGTCTCTAACGGAGTCTCTCTTCTGGAAAAATGAGAGCGGTGAGACTTTATTAAATGCTAAAACTGAAACGTTGGTGATAATTCTCTCTATAATCAACTCCTTTCATGTCACACAAACCCATTTGATCCACATTATAATGTAAATAAATATTGATTAAAGCTTTAATGCTATGATTTTATATTTAATTCATATGACGCTACATTCCTGGGTCCTTGCTTCCAGAAACAATCTCTTTGCACGGATACGTATTGTTTATAAACCCTTAAACATGCTTTAAATTAAAACTGAAATATTGGTTATAGTCATACGAGCACATGTGAGTGAGTGAACGTATATGAGACAGTGAATCTCTCACCAGGTACTGGGGGCTGCCCTCCTGCAGGTCATCCAGCTCTCGGTCCACCTCCGACAGACTGTTGTTGAGGCCGTCCAGCTCCGCCTGCAGGTCCTTGTACTCCTGGTGGTCGTGGTCAAACTGACGCTTGTAGTCGTTGCGCTCCGGCTCGTTCGCTATCGGAGGAAATTCACTGAGGCGGAAAACAAGAAGGAAAGAGAGATACAGTGGCGGAGTATCAAATAGTTCAAATTAGCTCACATTAAAATGCTGCTAATACTTTTACTTGAGTACTTTCTCACTGTGGTACTAGTACTTCTACTGAACTAAAGGATCTGAATACGTCTTTAGATTTCTTCCTACCCGTCGAAGTCGTGGTCGTCCAGCTCGTCTCCTGACGAGTTGTAGTCGGTCTCGTAGTCTTGTCCGTCGGCGCGTCGCGGCCGACCAGCTCGTCTCTTCTTGGGCCTCCCGGCCGAGGTGGGAGCGTCTGAGTTGGTGATGTAGGGGGCGCGGTTATGCAGCGGCAGGTCTACCTCTGGAGGCCTGTGGGACAATGAACAGATATCCACATTCTTACATTAATTATACAGACCGAAGCAATAACAATGCACCTGGAATTGTGTTTATCAGGTTTACATGACATAGCAGGAAGTAAAACACTTTGATTCATGACTTCCTGTTTCCATCACGCATACTTTTCACGATTTCACTCAGTTTCACTGTTGCAAGAAAAAGTGATTCATGAGTTTCTTTGCTGCAACTGGCAACGTTAATGTCCACATTAATAACAAGAGCTCAGTCCAGAGTCTGAAACACTTCTAGGACCTTTATGGTGCGTCTGTAGACTCTCACTCTCTGCAGGAAAAAAGAAAACTGCCTGATCCACATTTTTGCTAAATAACAAGTTCCAGCATGTTTCTTTTTTTGTATTTAAAGCAGCCATCTCATGTACTATACATTAATATTATTAAAATACTGCATGTTTATACGTATAAAAGAAGTGGACGTAGTCATCGTGACGTCACCGGTTAGTTTGTGGACTGATGTTTTAAAGCCTGGAGCCCTACAGGACACGTCTCAGACCTGTCAATCACCCTGTAGCCCCGCCCTAAAGCATCCCCTGCTTTATGGTCTGTTTGACTC